TGCAATCTTCACCACTTTCCTGCATACACTTTGTTGTCTGAAGCAGTTATAGATGAAAGAGGAGAGGATCAAAGTGTCCTTTTACCAGTGGATCAGAGACGTCATGCTGAAAATGTGCACGTCTGCTACAAGCTAAGTTTTGAAAGCAAACACGAAGCTGTAGCGTCCATTGACAAAAAGAGATTAGTTCACTACTCCTGTCCCACGTAATCCGCTTCAACTCCAAGCCGCGACTCCCGGTTCCACATCCGCATTGGCGCTCTGCGCGCTCTGTTTATTAAATTAATTAATATTAATTAATTATAAATTAATTTAAAAAAATTTTAAAAAAAATCATAAATTAAATTAAATTTATGAATGGAAATCTCGTCATCAACTTTCAGACGTTTTAGTTTGCACACAATCAAACCAGTTTGTCTTTTTGCTGCTCTGCTGCTCCACATGGTCAAAGTTACATTGGGAACTACAAAGTGATGCATGACATACTTCGTCCAGATTCGGTCACTCCAAACTAATCACTGGTCATGGAGCCATAAATGTTCTCCCTCACGCTGTCACTTAAACTACGACTTTAAGGAGTTGTTTTTAGAACCTTCATACCTCTCCTTGTTGTTTAGGGTGAATCTGCATTAGCCGCGAAGGATGACCACTTAGATGCCGCCGAACCTGACAAAAACAAACAGGACAGTGATGACAAGATGGACGCTGAGGAGAAAGACAAAATCAACGAGCAAGGAGATGAGGTAATCATCTGACCATGAAAATGGTCAGTCGAACAAGTGGTGGCCTTGGGACAGCAGACCTTTGCTGTTGTCGATGTTCTTAGCTCACATTGTTTATGACCTTCAAGGACTCTGTCTGACACCCATGCCAGTACAGTACACCAGTGTTTCCCAACCGCGGGTACAGGCACATTGCAGAGGGTACAGGAAAACGTTTCATTTTATTTGCCAGAGCATTAACTTCTTGCACAACCACGCCAAAATCACAAAAGCCACGTGTTCGCTCAAGTGTCTCATAAAAGCTCAGATGGCTGATAAAAAGTAAAACTCCTTTAGTAGCGCTGGATATGATTGATAAGTGCTTTGTTCATAGGATTTAAAGGTCATGTGCCTGTTTAAAGAGAACTTGTTTGAAGGAGCGCCACAATTTTTTGGGGGGGGATTTATTTTTTTAAAGGTATGAGTGACATTTAACAGTCAATTTTTTTTTTCATAGTTTGGATTCCATTTTTTATTGATATTTTTATTAAAACTCATTCACTCCTAACGACATAATTTGTCTTTTCACACTCCACACGTTCAACCCCAGATACTTATTTTTTTTCCAAGACTTAGGGTAAAAAAAAAAAAGGCGTCTAGAATTGGCTGGTAGTGAATGAAATTGAAAAAAAAGTATCTGGGGTTGAACATGTGGAGTGTGAAAAGACATATAAATATGCCTTTGAATTCAGTGTTCAAATTTAGGATGCCAAATAAAATAATTTTCATTTAATAATCAGTTGTATTCCATTCTACTTTTGGAGAACCATCATGTATAAGTCAAAGGAGTAGTCATGGTACCACAAAAATGTTTGGGGCTACACAAGTCAAATTTTTTTATTTTTTTTTTGGGGGGGGGTGTTATTTATTTATTTTGGGGCCACCACTCAAGGTGTTTTAATACTCAGAGGAGATTATCATGAAGTGCTAATTAGGAACGCAAACACTCATGTGCGCATACAAACACGCACACACACCCCCAAATGTCTGTGTATTGAACATTGATCTGTGTTTTCCCCAATGGATTTCAATAAAATGTGAATTTTGGTTATTCGTGAGGTGGGCCAGTCCCTATCCCCCGCAAATATATAGTAAGTAAGCATGTTGTTTTAATAGGCTGGATTGATTGTTCAATCTTTTGATTGGATCGGTGATCGTTTTTTTTTAACTCGGTGATCGGCTCCAAAATCCTGATTGTGGAACGCTTAGTTTTAATATGTTCGTATCTGTGCAAACAAAGAGGATTTCACTAAAGGCAATATTTATCTTTGGCATTTAAGTTGTATATTTTGAGACATTCAAGTGTAATTCGATGTACCTTGTTATATTTACAAGGTACAATAAAATTGGCATGAATAGCATTGGGTAGCAGCTGCGTCGTGCCCAGGGACGAAATTCTAGTTTTGTGTCATAGCTAATATTTTGCCACCTTACTTTTTGTGACTTTGTGACACAGATCACTGAACTATACTTAATGATGTAATTACCTTGATTCTCTGCATGTGATCTTTACTGTGTCTCCTAGAGAGAGTTTGATGAGAATGAAGTGGACCCCTATCATGGCCAGCAGGATAAGAACCCTGAACCCGAGGCAATCGATCTGCCTGAAGATCTTAACCTGGACCAGGATGACGAGATGGAAGACAATGGACAAGATGAAGGCGATGGTGAGTCTTGTACTTTGATGAAGAACACATCAGCCCATCCATCCATTCATTATCTGAACCACTTTATCCTGTTTGCATGTTCTCCCCGTGCCTGTGTGGGTTTTCTCTGGGTATTCCGGTTTCCTCCCTCATTCCAAAAACGTGCGTGGCGGGTTAATGGAACACTCTAAATTGTCCCGAAGTGTGGTGTGCCCTACAATTGGCTGGCAACCAGTTAAGAGTTGTCCCCCGCCTACTGCCTGAAGTCATCTGGGATCGGCTCCAGAACGCCCGCAATCCTCTTGAAGATAAAGCGGTTCAGATATTGGCTGAATCGATGGATTTTCTTAACATTGTTCCTACCGTCTCCATTTTAATATTACTATTGTTGTTTTGTTTTTTTTTATTTAGAAGAAAATCCATTTGACATTGACAATGACAAGGAAGCGATCGTAGAAGGGGACGAAGAAGGACCGAAAGAGGGAGATGAGGAAGAGGGAGATGAGCAGATGGAAGAAGACAACTCAAACCAAAAAGAAAAAGACAACAGAGAACCAGAGTCACAGAGTGAAACAGAAAAGAGCGAAGCCGATCCAAAAACAGAAGACAGCGAATCCCAAAAAGATGAGAATCTCTCTGTCCCAAAAGAGGAGGGGCCCACTCCTAAGGTGGGAATATCAACTGCTTTATCTGATTATTTCATTGCTTGTATTCATGATGAGACACGATAAAACATCCATTCCTGCATGAAATGTTTCATGAAAGGGGGGCATTTCCACTCTCAGCTTGAAACTCTACTCGTGGAATGTTTACCATGTATTTGTTGTCATTATCTGTGACTGAGGTCTCTGTTCATGTAATTGGTAAGGAAGTAATTTTCTCTGATGCAAGTAAGTGCTTTACTAGTTACTGACATTGTTTTGACACATAGTCTGACAATTCCTCAAGTCATTGCAATTGAAAGACCACTTTAAGAAGATGACGTTAAGTTTTCTTTCAATATGTGAAACAAAAAAAAGCAAACAAACAAAAAAAGAAAAGTCATCCTGGACTCACATAAAATATTGTCCTCACATAAAGTGAAATACTGCGCATAATGCATAAAACAGAAACTGACACTGCGTGCGCGTAATGACCACCTCCCAACCCCCCCTTCCCTATTGGCACAGGAGGAGGCTGATGGTATGGATGATGCGGAGGATCCATTGGAGTCAGCTGAGAGGAAAGAACATACCACTGATGGCCAAACCGGAGAGCAGAATTTCCAGAGTGATACTGCTGTGGAGCTGGCTGGAGAGGCATCAGAGAGAGACCAAGCAAAAGAGGTGAGCCTTGTGTGTGGCTAAAGGATCTCGTGTTTAGCAAAAAAAGGACACAAATATTTGAGGAAGTGGAGAAACTTTTGCTTATTTTCATAAATGAGAAACAGCTAGCATTTTAAAGCAAGCAGAGGATGGTTCGAAAAGTTTCGGAAAAGAAGTGGGATACACTCCGTGATTCGTCATGGGAAGGCAGGCAGTTCAGACAAGGAATCTGCCGAAAAGTTTAAAGTTGAGTTCGCCCTATATTGTGAAAACAGTTATAAGGCCATTAATTGAAGGTATACTCCGAAGCGCCTTATCGTCCCAAAAATATGGTACATTGGTTATTTCATTTATAAAAAAAAAAAAAAAAAAGAAAGAAAAAAAAATGATTGCATATATTTCCATGTACTAACTTTCGTAGGAGCATGGGACTGGAGCAGCTGATGCTTCCGTATCAGAAGGTCACCAGTCAAAGCTGACTGCAAGGATGCCTTCATATACACAGAAACATAACAGCACTCAGGTACAGTGTGATAAATGAGCTCAAATATTTGGAATTCTTTTTTTTCACTCATGTTTTTACAAATCAGCTTTAAATAATGATTGTGTTCCAGAGCTTTAAAAGAAAACCTGGTCAAGCAGACAATGAGCGTTCAACAGGTGACTCCAATGAGCTTGTGAACAAGCGTCTTCGTACGTTGGAAAGCTCTCATGAGCAGACGCAAGAAAGCAGGCAAGGTGAAACCCAACAAGAGTCCGACCTATATGAACATATCAAAGAAGGGGACATGGCCTACGATCGGCAAACATACGGTCAGTAGCAACTACATCTGAACAAAAATTGTTTGTGTGAAGTATGAAGAAATAATGAATATATTGCGATAATAAATATACTGTAATAATAGATGTCTTTGTTGAACGCTTCCAGATGTCGCCAATGCGAATCAGGAGGCAGCAGAGCATCGACAGGTCAAGGATGAGGAGGATCTTTCAATGGAAATAGAAGAACAAGATGATGACTTGCATGCTGCTGAAGTCCAGGAGCTGAAACATCAGCCGCTGGATACAGCAAAGGCCCTGCAGGAGCAAGGTGTGACTGCATTCAGTGTCCACCTGCTGACACACACAATGCAAATCCTTTTTTGCTTTGTTTATCCATCTCTTTTATTCCCTACTCCTGAAACACCGTGCCCCTGGCCTTGTTTAATCCTATTTGCATGACAGTTGAAACTGATGCAAATCCAGCTCTTTGTGCTCTGTCATTCACTCACTGCCACCCTTGATGCAATCAGTTTCTTATTTTACCGTAAATGCGCTGTTTCCTTCCAAGAGATTATATATCTACCCTTTTTGCTAACATGGCTTTATTTCAAAGTTAAAGTTTCCAGGACTTTTCTAAAGGATTTTTTTGTTTTGTTTTGTTTTGTTTTGTTTTGTTCTTTTGTTTGTTTTTAAGCAGGTATAGAGAGTGCAGAGATGCATCTGCAGAGGCAAGAGAATGAAGGCAAAGAATGGGAGCGTGGCAGGCATTCCAGAGATCCCGAGGAAGCCGAGAAAAATTCAGAATCAACCTTTCACACACTGACTGAGATGCTCGTAGACACAATGCAGGTGCGTGATTTATTTGTGACTTGTATGTTGTTTTTGACACACTTCTTTGAAATGACACTA